GCCCAGGCTGGCCTCGAACTCACAGAGATCCGCCTGGCTCTGCCTCCCGAGTGCTGGGATTAAAGGCGTGCGCCACCACCGCCCGGCTTCTTTTTCTTTTTAAAAGATGTATTTGTAAGCCGGGTGGTGGTGGTGGCGCACACCTTTAATGCCAGCACTCAGGAGGCAGAGGCAGGAGGATTTTTGTGAGTTCGAGGCCAGCCTGGTCTACAGAGCTCTACAGAGCAAGATCCAGGAAAGGCGCAAAGCTACGTCTGGGGGGGGGGGATGTATTTGTGTGGGTGTTTTTCCTGTCTGTGTGTCTGTGTCCCGTGTGTGCGGTGCCAGCAGTGGGCATCTGCTCCCCCAGAGCAGGAATTACAGATGGTCATGAGCCACCACGTGGGTGCTGGGGCTCTAACCTGACTCCTCTGGAAGAGCATCAAGGGCTCCTAACCACTGAGCCATCTCTCCAGCCTCCCAAACCCTCCCATTTCACTCCCTAGAGACTGGGCCTCGCCATGTAGCCCTGGCTGCCCTGGAACTTGCTCTGTAGACCAGGCTGGGCTTGAACTCCGAGACCCGACTGCCTCTGTCTCCTGAATGATGGGATTAAATGCACGTACCACCACTGCCACTCTTTTGAGATAAAAACCAGACATAACCTTTCACTGAATATGGAGCTCAGTGATTAGCTAGACTTGTCCATCAAGTCACTGAACTTCCTGTCTTCACCTCTCAGCACTGGGATTTCAGGCACATCTGAGTCTGAGTCTGTATGTGGGTGCTGGGGATCCGAACTCAGGTCCTCATGGCTGCACGGCAAGCACTTTACCCACCGAGCCATCTCTCCAACCCTCATCATTTCTGTTTCATTCTGTGGCTAAGAATGATTTGCCTGCGTGTGTGTGTGTGTGTGTGTGTGTGTGTGTGTGTGTGTGTGTGTGTGTTACCCCAGAGTGCAGAGCGGGGCATTGAATCCCCTGGAACTGGAAGCCACCATATGGGTGGGAGCTGGGAATCGAACCTGAGTCCTCTGGGAGGACAGCCAGCGCTGTTAACCACTGTACCATTTCTTCAGTCATGTTTCTTAACACCTCCTTCAGGGGACACCAAGCATGTCCTTACTGGCTCAGCTGACAACAGCTGTCGCCTCTGGGATTGTGAAACAGGTAAGCCTGCGCCGTGTGCTCTTCAGCGAGGATTTGCCAACCACAGTGTGCCTGTCCAAGCAGATGTGTCCGGGGGAGCTGGAGAGAGATGGTTTCCGTTCTACGGATTAGGAGACAACAAATGAGACAGTGAGGAAGTTAGCTGGGGAAAGGAGCTTTACATTAAGATAATAAGCCATGTTCAAGGAAGGCCGGAGAGGGACAGGGGGGAATGGGTGGCCTTGGAAGGTTTCTCAAGGTAACTGTTGTGAGAGCTGGGCTTTTATGGGCAACAGAGTGCTTGGTCGCTTTGGTACAAGCAGGAATGAAGGCAAGGGATGTCCAGGTAAAAGGCTAAGACAAGCTGTGTGTGACGGCACATACCTCATCCCAGCACTGGGAGGCTGAGGCAGGAGAATGGAAAATTTCCGGCCAGCTTGGGGTAGGGTGGATGAAACTAGAGTCTGAAACCAGAACAGCCTTGACTGTGGAAGTGAAGAAGTTGGTTTCAGGTTCAGGGAGTGTGGAAGTTATTGCCTTCACCCCTGACCCCAGCAGGTTCCAGTGGACACTCCCAATCCAGTGGTCACACAGGTGGCCCCGCTTAGACTAACTGAGTCACAAAACAAAACTAGAAGTCACAGACCTGGGAGATGGACTGATAGGGATGTAAGTGGTAGACTTAGGGACAAGAGGGAGAGTAATCAGGACCTGTTATGTACATGTGTGACATTGTCAGGCAACAAAATAAATAATTAAAATACAACTCTGCCAGGCAGTGGTGGCATCCACCTTTGATCCCAGCACTTTGAAGGTAGAGGCAGGCAGATCTCCAAGTTTGAGGCCAGCCTGGTCTATAAGGTGACTTCCAGGACTGCAGAGAGAAACTATCTGGAAAAACAAACACAATATATAAAACTCCAGGCTAGCTGGGCAGCGGTGGTGCATGCCTTTAATCCCAGCACCTCGGCAGGCAGAGGGAGGTGGATCTCTGTTGAGTTCGAGGCCAGCCTGGTCTACAGAGTGAGTTCTAGGACAGGTACCAAAACTATACGGAGAAACCCTGTCTTGAAAAACAAACAAACAAACAAAAAAACAGGAAAGAGAAAAATTAAAATAAAACTCCAGGCTAGCCAAGGTCATATCATGAGAACCTGTCTTAAAAAAATAAAAACAAGGGCTGGAGAGATGGCTCAAAGGTTAAGAGCACCAACTGCTCTTCGAGAAGTCCTGAGTTCAATTCCCAGCAACCACATGGTGGATCACAACCATCTGTAATGAGATCTGGCGCCCTCCTCTGTATACATAATAAATAAATAAATCTTTAAAAATAAATAAATAAATAAATAAATAAAAACAAAAATCACCAATCGTAGCACGAATCCTAATTGGTCTTTATAATAAAAACCCAGAGTCAGATATCAGGGTGAAAAATCAGAGAAGCAGAGAGCAGTCGGCCACTAGACAGACTTCTTACCTCTAGGAATCCTCAGACTGAAAAGGGGACCTGGCTCCTGTGTCCACCCTCCCTCCCTATCACTTTCTCTCTCAGCCCAGCCGTATCATTTCCTGTCTCCTCCCAAGTGCTGGGATTAAAGGTGTGTGCCACCACTGCCTGGCCCCTGTGGTTAACTAGTGGCTGGCCCTACCCTCTGGTCTCCAAGCAAGCTTTATTTGTTAGAGCACAAACAAAATATCACCACAACCAATTATGATTAAGTTATTCTGCAGCCTGGTCTACAGATCAAGTTCCAGGACAGGCTCCAAAAAGGTACACAAAGAAACCCTGTCTCGAAAAATAAAACAAAAAAAAGTTATTCTGTTTGTTTATTTTGAGATTTATATATTTTATGTATGGATGTTTTGTCTGCATGTACATCTGCACACCAGAAGAGGGAATCAGGTCCCATAGGACTATAGTTATAGACAGTTGTGAGCCGCAATGTGGGTGCTGGGAATGAACTCAGAACCTCTAGAAGGACAGCCTGCACTCCCAACTCCTGTGCCAGCTCTCCAGTCCAAGTTTTGGTGTTTGTTTTAATTTTACATGTATGGGTGTTTGCCTTCGTGTATGTGAACCATGTCTGTGCATTGCCCATGGAGGCCAGAAGAAGGCATCAGATCTGCTGGGTCTGGAGTTAAAGAGCGTGAGCGACCTGTGGGTCCTGGGAATTGAACCTGCGTCCTCTGCAGGAACAGCTAGTCTAGATTCAAGTTCTTCAGAGAATTTGGTTTTGTTCTGTAAAACTTGGCACACTGATCCATGCAGTGGTGGTACACTCCTTTAATCCCAGCACTCAGGAGGCAGAGGCCGGCAGATCTTTTGTGAGTTCGAGGCCAGCCTGGTCTACAGAGTGAGTTCAGGACAGTCAGGGCTACCCAGAGAAACCCTGTCTCAAAAAACAGAAACAATCAAACAAACAAACAAAAAAAACTTGGCACACTGAGGAGTTTGATGAACAGGGAAGAATAGTGGCCTTGTGGGTTTGAACAAGGTCCAAGCCGTTGAAGAGCTGACAGCAAAGGGGAGGCCATTGTATTATTCTGGCTACTGGGTGGTTGCTGGTGTCTGCTTCTGTGCTGGCACACACTGGAGAAATGGAGTCTGAGAGGGAAACGTAGCTGGGAACCCACCGCTGGTAGAGCCGAATTCCTCAGGATTCCGGAAAAAGTGCTGGAGAATGGGACTAGAAAGACAGCTAAAGAGGTGTGTGTGTGTGTGTGTGTGTGTGTGTGTGTGTGTGTGTGTGTGTGTGTGTGTGTGTGTGTGTGTGTCATGGCAGAACCCTGTGAGGCTGGGTAGGTGAGTGTGATAGCGCCTTCCTGGGATAAAGTTAGACCATAGTAACCTAGACCCCGCCTCTCCCCAGGGAAGCAGCTGGCTCTACTGAAGACCAACTCAGCTGTCCGCACCTGTGGCTTTGACTTTGGGGGCAACATCATCATGTTCTCCACAGACAAGCAGATGGGATACCAGTGTTTTGTGAGCTTCTTTGATCTACGGGATCCAAGCCAGATCGGTGAGGGCTCGGACCAGGGGGTCTGAGGTGGGGGTCTGAGGTGGGGGTCTGAGGTGGGGGGTGTGGCTTCAGATCCCAGGGCCTGACCTCTCCTGCTGTGCACAGACAGCAATGAGCCCTACATGAAGATCCCCTGCAATGACTCCAAGATCACCAGTGCTGTTTGGGGACCCCTGGGGGAGTGCATCATCGCAGGCCATGAGAGTGGAGAGCTCAACCAGTATAGCGCCAAGGTAAGGGCCAAGTGTGACCAGATGCCAGTAGGTGTCAGGAGTGTGTTAACAGTGGTTACAAATATCACTAGAGACTGCTAGGCCCTGGATGAGGTTCCTAGGAAGACAAGGAGACTCAGCCACCAGCTTACAAACAGCCAGTACATGAGTCATGCCTATTTATGCCCACGATAGAGATTTCAGCTAAATCCAGAGTGTACTCTTGTTACAGAGGGGGTGGCATGTACGTGGAGTCGTGAAAAATAAGTCCAGTTTCCAAGGGTTAGAGAGGATGGCTCAGTGATTAACAGCACTGGCTACTCTTACAGAAGACTTAAGTTCCCGCACCCACGTGGCAGCTCCCAACTGGCATTAATTCCAGGTCCAGGGATCCAGGATATCTTCTGGCTCCTTGAGTACTGGACACGAACATGGTACACACACACACACACACACACACACATACACACACAAAGCATGCGTGCGCACATACACAAAATACTCATGACACATAAAAATGATATCTTTTTTTTAAAAAAAAAAAAAGCTTCTAGCAGGAAGAATAGTTTTCCACAGGCGAAAGGAATATCAGGAACAAGATCTGAAAGTATAGCCCAGTGGAAGGGCACTTACCTAGCATGTCTAAGGCCCTGAGTTCCCCAATGTAAGGAGTGGAGATACAACAAAGCCCAGAACTGTGCTCCTCTGGAAAGTGGATTGGCATTTGAGAGTAAACATCTTTGAGTGTCAGAAGGTGAGGATCCGATTCTTCTCTAGGCAGTGGCATTATTTATAGTATTTGCCATTTGGAAGGTTCTGCAGCTCCAGCTTGGAGCATAGAGCTGAACTAGTTGGTACAAATGAAGATGTGGAGTTCTAGACAGGCACACAATACTTAGGAGTCAGAAGGGTATGTACCTCTAGTTCCAGGTTCTTGGGAAGCTAAGGTAGAGTGATCGCTGAATACCAAGAATTGGAGATGTGATAATAAAAAGGAAGGGAAAAATAATATATTTACAGGTTAGGTGTGGTGGTCTAGACCTGTTACCTAGCTGGGTGACAAGTTGCAGGCTTGAGGCAAGCTGAGGTGGCACACACCTGTAAGCCCAGTACTTGGGAGGCAGGGGCAGGTGGATCTGAGTTTCAGGTCTACATAGTCAGTTCCAGGCCAGCCAGGCATGGTAAAACATCCCAAAACAGGAAAAAAAGTTTGAGGTGTGCCTGGGCTACAGAGTGAGTTCAGGGCTAGCCTTAGACAACCTCAGGGAGAGAAATGGCTCTGTGGTTAGAAATACTTGCTGCTCTTGCAGAGGACCTGAGTTCCATTCCTAGCACCCACATGAGGCAGTTCACAACTGCCTGTGACTCCAGCGCCAGGGGGAATCAGTGTCCTCTGATCTGTGGGCACTGACACTTGCATACACAGCACATATCCATATACATGTTTTTTGTTTTGTTTTTTGTTTTTTGAGATAGAGTTTCTCTGTGTAACCTTAACTGTCCTGGATTGCCCTCTGTAGACCAGGCTGGCCTTGAACTCACAGAGATCCGCCTGCCTCTGCCTCCCGAGTGCTGGGATTAAAGTCGTGCGCCACCACTGCTCAGTGATAGAGGACTTGGGGTCAGTCAGTCCCAAAAGTGAGGGGTGGTGGCGGCATTAGATTGAGGAGGTAAGGAAGGGCTGAAATGGAAACTCTAGCTTGTCTCAGGTTTCTGGGGACCAGTGGCTCGGGGCTCCCGCAAATCAGTCTCCCACAAATCAGTCTCCCGCTTGCTCCTCCAGTCTGGGGAGGTGTTGGTGAATGTTAAGGAGCACTCGCGGCAGATCAATGACATCCAGTTGTCTAGAGACATGACCATGTTTGTCACCGCATCCAAGGACAACACAGCCAAGGTGAGCCTGGGTTAGGGATCCGGTGGAGCTCTCCCTGCCCTCCTGGTGCCCATTTACCCAGTCTGACCTTCCCGAAAAGGTGCCCACCACCGATCCTGCCCAAAAAGGTGCCCACCACAGACCCTGCCCGAAAAGGTGCCCACCACAGACCCTGCCCGCCCTTTCTCTCCAGCTCTTTGACTCCACAAGTCTTGAACATCAGAAGACTTTCCGAACAGAACGTCCGGTCAACTCAGCTGCCCTCTCTCCCAACTATGACCACGTAAGAAGACCCCACTCAGGCTTCCTGCTTTCGGGGTGTTTGCCCAGCAGTTAGGCTGTAGATGTTGGGGGACAGTGGTGTCAGACAGCGAGGGGACTCCTAGCAGTTACAGTGCTGACTGATTGGGTAGCCCAGGGAAGTGAGCAGGAGGCACCTGAACTGGCTGCTCATCCCTCCCTGAAGATCCTCCTCCTGGAATGGGAGCTGTTGGCAGAGGACAAAGGGTGCAGAAAAAGTCCTGGTTGCACCTGAACTTTCTTTTCTTTAGGTGGTGCTGGGAGGTGGTCAGGAAGCCATGGATGTAACCACAACCTCCACCAGGATTGGCAAGTTTGAAGCCAGGTAAAGGGGAAGCAAGCTCTTCCACATTGAGCCCACGTGGAGGATGCCTTTCAGAGTAACCACCAACCTCCTGAACACGAAGGATCATAGGGAGTGTGGCAGATATCTCATAGCCGATGAGGTCATGAACTCAGCTGGACATAGAGCTGGCTAAAGTGCCTGCTTACCACACCAGGTTGTGTCCCTGGCATGACCAATGGGTGGTGCCCCCAAGCCTGTACGACAGTTCCCGCCATTTGGGAAGTGGAGGACCATGAGTTCAAGGTCATCCTTAGCCTCAGCCAACTCCTAGCTCACCTGGGCTACACAGGACCCTGTCTCTAAACAAAAGAGATCATGAACTCTGAGAGCCTAGATGATGCTGTCTTTTTCTCTGGGCCTAGGATTTTGAACTGTTTAATGGGACAGGGTAGTGTGTTCACCTCAGAGATGTGTGCAGATTAAGTAAATGAATTAATATTTAGTAAGCCTTAGAGCACTGCCCAGCACGTGTAAGTGCGTGGTGTTTGCTATCTACTGAAGCAGACGTTTAGGTACTCGTCCTATAACTTCATTTTATTTCTTTCCTTTATCCTAACTTCTCTGCTTTATTAATTTTGTTACATAGAATACTGCCTCAATAGTCTTCATTTTGCAGAATGCTGCATCAAGTGTTTTGGAAGGAGAGAGAGACTAAATAACTGGTCTGCTACCCACCCTCTCCTCAGGTTCTTCCATTTGGCTTTTGAGGAGGAATTTGGAAGAGTCAAGGGCCACTTTGGACCTATCAACAGTGTTGCCTTTCATCCTGATGGCAAGAGGTATTCTCAGTGGCCGGGGGTCTCTGCCCATTTGCTATGTCTGGCTGCCTCAGCTTCCCCTCCAAGCAGCATCTGACCATCCCTGTCCATCTCTTTCCAGCTACAGCAGCGGTGGTGAAGATGGTTATGTCCGCATCCATTACTTTGACCCACAGTACTTTGAATTTGAGTTTGAGGCCTGAGAAGCTGGATCTCCATCCACACTGGGGAGGCTGCTCACAGAGGGTTTCAGACTCTGAGAAATAAATGAGTTTGTTACAAATAGTTCCTGGTCAGACATTTCCACAGCCTGTCTGTCCTCCCTCTTCACAACCCCCGGCAGGCTGACAGTAAGGAATACTCAGTTCTTCAGGCCTTCTCTCTGCACATCGACTCGGCACTGTTCTGGGCTAGCCTGGGAAGCAGGCACTCCACCATTTTCATGCGGCCAGTGCTTCAGGAGGGGCTCAGACTGATGTGGTCTGGGAACCTTCCCCCTTCCTTTTCTGTCTGATGGATGGCTCAGGTGGGCAGGACCAGCAGGGAAAAGGGCCTGAGGAGGCAGAAAGGAAGCCCTAGTGTGAGAAATCCACGAGAGTCTGCTGAAGGGGTATCAGGTATTTATTAACATATTAATGGAGAAGTACACTCAGGAGCACAGAACCAAATAAACAGCCGAAGTCCCCTGTTCTGTGCGGGAGAGAATGCACCTGGCTGTCCCGATGTGTGATCATGCCTAGAAGAACGTGATTCTTCTCCCTTTCCTTTTAAGAGGTCATGCATGCAGGCAAGAAACCCCACCTATTTTAGGCCATATTGCCAAAGGTCATGGGTGGAGCAAATACCACTACATTTCCCTGTTTTGTCTAAATAAGAAGGATCTAAACCTAATACAAACTATATACCAACACTTGGGAGGCAGAGGCAAGCAGATCTCAGTGAGTTTGAGGCCAGCTTGGTCTACAGAGTGAGTTCCAGGACAGCTAGGACTGTGTCTTGAAAAGCAAAAACAAAACAACAACAAAAAAAAGGTAAACATTGAAGTATAAGGACAATGATCTCGAAGTTGTGACAATATACAAAAATGCCTTAATCAGAGAAGTAGAAATGTATATAGTGTAATATGACAGTATCCTTAGTATGTATCAGTATACAAAATATCCTAAAGTAGAACATATGTACAGTATGACAAGTGGAATTTTACATTTCTATCAATATATAAAATATTTCAAACAAGAATAGGAACATATGTACAATATGACAAATATAGTTTTGTGTTATAAAAATATAAATTGAACAGGAACAGAAAAATAATTTTACATTTTTGTCAGTATACAAGAATCCATACCAATGCAATTATCTAAAGCTGAAAGTTACTGATTAGTTCACAAGTAGATACGATAATTTACCTTATTATCCTGTCCTATCCCTCTTTTTTTTTTTTTTATCCAAAAGAGAATCTTGAGTCTAAACCTTATTGTTCCACCCCCAACCCTATTTCAACTTATAACCAATCCCTAACATATGACAACAGTTATCCATAACCCTGAGAAAACAAAACCTTTTGGGAGAGGGGTGTCATTTTCTTAAAATTGCTTCCTGCTGTCTAGGGGTGACGGTATCTCTGTGGGATCCTGTAAGAAAACTAAAAGAATGGTTAAATCTCATAAGGACTAGCTGTAACATTTGTAGCCAGTCCAGAGAAATGGGTAAAAACAAAGTTACCTGAAGCTCTACCTATAGGTGTAAGATGATGGATTATTTTAGCCACCTTGGAACTGTCCTGAATAGTTTGTAGTCCAGAGCCAACCTATGAGTGCTGTTTATTGGCTTAATGGCATCATTCTGAACCAGGTAGATCATTGTGGGACCCCATCTTCCTTCTGGAGACTTCAAAGATTGCTGTTAGGAAAATTTATTGTTCACTGTGGAAAACTTAAACATTAATATCAAAATGAAAAGTTTAATTTTTTTTAGGTTAACTATCTAAAGAAAGGTTCCAAAGAATCAAAGTATGGGGAGAAATAGAATTTTGACAATAGTCCCTAGATTTTTTTTTATTTTTTTCTGTCTCACACCAGGTGGCTCTTCTCATACGAGACAGAATTTCTTAATTTTTTTTTTTTTAAACAACATGCTTTGGTTTAGAGAAGGAGAGAGCCAGACTCCAACTCCAAAGCAACCTGTGATTTATAATTGAGTCAGGACTACAACCTTTCTAGAAGTAACAAGATATTGATGGTTAGGTAGTGAGATATTACCCTGTAGAGAGTATTGGTACCAATAGGTCTGATCATACTTTGCTTGTAAATTTTTTTCTGGATAGTCTTTCTGTCTGCTTTAGACATCTAGATGTCCAAGGTCCTTTGACTTCTTGGGGTTTTTTTAATTATTTATTTTTATTTTGTGTGCATTGGTGTTTTGCCTGCATGTATGTCTGTGTGAGGGTCCTCTGGAACTGGAGTTACAGACAGTTGTGAGCTGCCATGTGGGTTCTGGGAATTGAACTCGGGTCCTCTGGAAGAGCAGTCAGTGCTCTTAACCGCTGAGCCATCTCTCCAGCCCCAAAAAGTTTATTCATGTATACCTGCAGGCCAGAAGAGGGCACCAGATTTCTTTATAGATGGCTGTGAGCCACCATGTGGTTGCTGGGAATAGGACCTCTGGATGAGCAGTCACTGCTCTTAACCACTGAGCCATCTCTCTAGCCTTTCTTGTTTTTGTTTTTGTTTTTTTAAGATTTATTATGTATACAGTGTTCTGCCTGCATGTGTCCCTGCAGGCCAGAAGAGGGCACCAGATCTCATTACAGATGGTTGTGAGCTACCATATGATTGCTAGGAATTGAACTCAGGACCTGTGGAAGATCAACAGCCATTGCTCTTAACCTCTGAGCCATCTCTCCAGCCCACCCTTTGACTTCTTGAAGATAGGTATTTCTATTATCCTGTAAAGACAAAAACAAAACCCTGCCTTGACCCTTGTTTAATTAGTTTTCCTTATAACTTGTAGGACTGTCTGTCACATGGGTGGAGGAGCTATCACTTGTCATCAAGGAGTTTCTCCTGTTCAAATCAAATCTTTATTAATTTTGATGGTATCCATAACTTTTCTCCTTCTGTGGAAATAAAAGTGAAACTTCTTCCCCAATATAACACATATCCTGGTTTCCATTCTGAGGTCAACACATCTTTGAAGTAGACAGGCTGATTTAGCTCAGTAGTTTTTCTATAGTTCAGTGTTTCTGCAGCTGTTCCTTTCTCGTCAGCATTAAGAAAATTCAAGGTTAATAAGGCATTATGCAATCTGTCTTTGGGAGGTTTTGTTTCCCCTTTCTGTTTATAAAACATTTCTTTTAAAGTGTGATTAGATCTTTCTACAACTGCTTATCCTGTAGAATTGTGTTGTATACCTGTAATATGTTTTAGATTATGTAAAAACTTTCATTTTACTGGAGACATGCTGGAGCATTGTCAGTCTTCATTTGTATAGGTATAGCAGTTATGGCCATGACTTCTAATAGGTGTGTAATTATAGAATCAGCCTTTTTAGAACTGAAAGCAGTTGCTCATTGAAATCCTGAAAACATACTTATTGTATATGGTGTACATATTTTAACTTTCCAAATTCTGCAAAATGAAACATATCCATCTGCCAATTTTCATTTCTTTGTATACCTTTAGGATCACTTCCTGCAGGTTGTGGAGTTTGGTTATAGAAGGAGCAAGTAGGACTTTTTTTTACAATTTCCTTGGATTATTGCCAAGTGATGGGAAAGCCCTTTTTTAAATCTTTGCTAATGACATGGTGTTTCTTATGAAATTCTGAGGCCTCTAGCACATTTCCTATTAGTAACCGATCAATCTCATCATTACCTTGTGCTAGAGGTCCCGGCAGACCCATATGGGAGCTGATGTGTAATATATATAGGATGATCCCTATTTCTGGTAATTTCCTGTAGTTGTATAAATAGCAAAGTTAATTCTGTTTTATCAGAAATAAATTCAGCAGTTTCAGTATATAAAACAACTGTGCATATTGAGAGGTTCTGTAAAGACCATTAGTACCATAAGAATGGCATACAATTCTGACTTGTACAGAACTATAAGGGCTTTGTACAACTTTACTTAAATCTCCTGATTTATATCCTGCCTTTCCTGATTAATTTGCATCAGTATAGAATGTGGGGACTCCAGAGATTGGTTTTTTGATGTACAATTTGAGGAAAGACCCAACTGGTTGTTTTTATGAATTTTATTCTCTCACTTTTGGGATAATGGTTATTAATCTCTCCCCAAAAGCTGCTGCAGGCTCTTTGCCAATATTCATTATCCTTCTTTAAAGAGGAAATTTCTTCATTACTTAAAGGTACTACAATTTCTGCTGAGACCATTCCTGTCAATTGACTAAGTCTTAATTTTCTTTTTAAAGTCAGATCAGAAATATTTTCCACATATGTCTTTAATTTCTGTTTGTGTGGTAGAAATATCCATTCCAATATAATATCTTTCCTCTGCATTAAAATCCTCGCAGGGGATTGTCTAGGAGGTAATATAACCAGAATGCAGTTAAGCTCTGTATCCACAAGACCCACTCCTGTATTTTCTTTTCCACTAGAGCCAATTCCTTCTCAGCTTCAGCTAATTCTCTTGGACTGTTTAAGTCCTTGTGCCCATTTAGGGTATTGGACAAATATTTTTTTTTAAGATTTACTTATTTATTATATAGTGTTCTGTCTGGATATGTGCCTGCACACCAGAAGAGATCACCCCATCCCATTACAGATGGTTTTGAGCCACCATGTGGTTGCTGGGAATTGAACTCAGGACCTCTGGAAGAGCAGCCAGTGCTTTTAACCTCTGAGCCGTCTCTCCAGCCTGGTATTGGACAAATTTACTAGTTCATCTTTAGTTATCCTAATAGTGGGCTGTAAATTGGAAATGTCTCCTAACAATCTTTGA